CCTTCTCCATTGTTGGTGGGAGTGCAGACTGGTGCAACCACTGTGGAAATCAGTTTGGAGATACCTCAAAGAACTAGGACAGCTACCTAAATATTTAAATGGGCTTAAAGGGTTACTGTAAAAGTGGATATTGTAATAGCATGATAGGATTGGTTTTCACGTCTTCTCTAATGTTACATTTGACACAGTACAAATTTAGAAGTGAGCTTGGATGTCCCAAGAATTTCTCTCTGTAGCTGTGTGAGACGCATTTGTGATGGTTTATCCATACACATTTGGTGCTGCTTCCTTACAGTTGCTGGCAATGCTGCTTAAAAAGAAGCGCCCCCTCCTCAACAGTCACATCCTTCATCTGACGTTTTCCCTGGTGGGAACGGTTGACAGTGGACACGAGACCTCCATTATTCCAAATTCAACTGCTTTCCAGGACCTTCTGTGTGATTTTGAGGTATTTGTAGAAACACTAACTGATAATAATACATAGTTGATGAATCCTTTTCTTATTCTATGTAATGACAGATCTAAACTCTTTTTTTTCTCTAAAATATGTTTTAAGTTCTATCATTTTGTGATGATCATATTAATAGCAGTTAATAAAACATAAAAAGTAAATTAATAGGGCCGGGGATTTAGCTCAGTGGTTCCACCGCCTGCCTTGCAAGCGTAAGGACCCAAGTTCAATCCCCGGTACCAAAAAAAAGTAGATTAATAGTTACATTCCTTCCCTCCAAATATTTTCTACCATACAAATACCGAAATGAAATGGTGTGGTTCCTTTGCTTAAATAGCTAACTCACTATGTTATAAGAGGCAAACATTTTCATTCAGACAATTTTGGTAGAAACTTTTCTCTAATAAACAGGAACTTTTGCAAATAAACTTTTAAAATAAACAGGTTTGTAATTTTTGTTAATTACAACTGTGTGGTAAAATATCATTCATTTTGCCAAAGTCACAAGTTTTCTTTTCTACTGTGTCTTTGCCCATGAGCACTTTATGAGTGTGGAAGTCCTGTTTGCTTTGTCCTTTTGTCCCCTTTCCACCCCAGATGGTACCATCACCTAAAGTTTGCAAACTGTGACCCTGGGCCACCAACTCTTCTCCCCCATAATTCCCATATGCTGTTTGGTCACGGGTTCCCTAGTAAACAGCCTATGTGTCCTAATCCCTTTATGAAACTATATTTTCAGAGCTTCCTAGCAGCTTCCTTCTGAGTAAGACTCCATGGCCTGTCCACAGTGCCCAGCATCCACAGGCCACAGTAGCAATTTGAGGGGTTTCTTGCCCTCTTGGAATTTGCATGTCTCTTCTCACCTGTCCAGTGTCAAACGTGCTGATTCTCATAACCTTCCCACTACTTTTGATTTTTTTTTTTTTT